AAATCCTATATTGCCATCGGAGAAGGCTATACTAAACATATGACACGTGACACAGGTGACAATAACAGGACAAGAAGACATTACTCACCGTGTTTGTTGAATGATTCTTACTTACCTGGACTTATGAACTCAAAGGCGCGAGAGAAAATAAATAAATAAATCGCACGGGTGGCGCGTTAACAGGCTAACGTTAGCGAGTTAGCGTGCTGTGTTAACAATAACGGAAGCTAGAGATGGGTTAATCTCAGATGTTGGGTAAGCTGTATTTAGTAGTATAAATAACTAGAAATGATAGTAAAAGATAAATGATGGCTCAAAACAGAAAGAAATACGAGGCTCAGGCGGAGCTTACAACCTCGAAGCAAACAAACACACAGCAGGCAGCGAGGCAGACAGGAGCAATCGATCAGCGATCCAGACAGCAAAAGTCATTTTCCTCGTTTTCCTCATTTTCCTCGTTCCTCTAAAGTCATTAGAGGAACGAGCAGAGATAAAAAAAAAAAAATTTGAAGAACGCCGAACTTTGAGTAGGATAAATATAGGGTCCACCATTGACCGTTGGAGAAGGCTTCAGGAAGATCTGGGACTAAAAACCGACGCTGACACGGCTGACTTTTTGTTGAGCAGGTAAACATTTATTTATACTTTTATGGACGTGTTTCAAAAATAGCTTTTTATCAGTTTGACAACTTGCTCATGCTGCCGGTCGGCATTGGAATGTTAGCTGTTTAGCATCGCCTATCACGGGTCAAATTAATTATATTTCTTGAAGTCCTTGAATATATTTCAGTTGGCCTAAATTAGCGGGTTTCTGTTCGAGCCGATCGAAATTTGAACAAGATGCGCTGTGTGCTGCAATAACAATTACTGTAAACCTTAGCAATACTAGTAGTATTATACTAATGGTGGTGGGGAGTTTAGAACATTTCATGTGTTGCTAATCTTGCGTTGACGTGAACTCAAACGTGACATTGAATTGTTGATGAAGCAAAAGTTCAAGTGTCTAAAGGCAATTTTACATATGATGTGTCTTTAGCGAGGTCATTAGATTGAACATTACATGAACTGACATTACATCTCAGTTCCGATGTTTACTACCGGTGATCACAGCTTGACTGAGTGACGTAGTTCAGTTCGTTTCCCGGTGGGAGGGATCAGGTAGCACAGAGGGGAGGGGTGTGTGTGTGGAGGGGCAGGATGAGTTTTTAAAAAATTCAGGCTTTCTCGACCGATTTTCAAAATCGTATATCATAGCTTTAACGTCCACCCCATGGCAAAACTCAAAAAACTCCCTCACATATTCCTCCATTGGGCGTCTATCCTGCCGGAGGCGGAAGTGACAATCTGTAGGGATGGCTGACGCGAAACTGACGTTCCCGAAGCTTTTCGAGATCCCAAAGTCCCGATGTTTCGAAACACTGATCCAAAGCGTGATTCAAAACACCCATGTCACGTGACTACGGCTAAATAAAGCTTCGGAGTGTTTCACAAGTAAATGGAGCTTCGGAGTGTTTCACAAGTGTTTCGCCAGGTGGCATGGTCCGCCGAATCAGCATTTGATTGACAGGGTCGGGAACAGACCACACAATCGCACATCTGTATAAAAGTGAAGTCAACGCATCTTGACTTCGTGGGTTTTTGTGAGAGGATTTTTTCAAAGGCTGGAGAAATTATCTGTAAAAAAAGAAGTAGGCTAAGTCCTTCGACAGCAGATAAATTAATATTTTAGAATAAAAATCTATAAAAAAGTGAGACATTGTGGCTTGATTTCTTTTATTAATATTCATTTTTCATGACCAAAATAACATTATGCACAGTGAGGAGCCTACAGGTTACAAACTTCACATATTAGAAAAAAGATCAACACCTGCAAGTGACCACCAGGTGTCACCGTTGAGACGGGTGTCGGATTGTTTCGAAGCCTCGACACAATATGGCACATTTGCTTCAACTGTTTCATTGTTTCACGAAGCCTCGATCTGCCCACCACTAACAATCTGCTGGATCCATGTTGGGTTCAGTCCTTCTGTCACGGGTGGTCGAAGCAGACGAGGAAGTATAGGATCCATTTGCAGCTTTTCTTTTATTACACAAACTTGTCTTGTTTCATGTTTAGCTGCTCCCTGTTATGTTTATTGGTTTTCCCAGGTGTTTCCTATTAGCCACGCCCTCTTGTTATCTTGTCTACCTCTGTATTTAAGCATGTGTGTCTAGTTCAGTGTTTGTTCAATCCTGTTTGCTCGTCGGTTGTTCTGTTCCTGGGCCTTGTTTCCTGAGTCTGAGGTTACGTTTGTGTAGTTTGAGTTTGTGCAATAAAAGAAATGCTGCAAATGGATCCTACTTTCTCGTCTGCTCCTTGACAGAGTTGTCACATGTGTCAGTGCTTGTAAATCAAACACGATACGCAAGGTTCAGTGGGTTCCCTGGTATTCCTGACTCAACTTTAAAGAATGTTTTATGTCAAAAAGGGTGAAAAAAACCCTTTATTTTTAAGCTAAATCCCTAAAATGATCACATAGTGGAAACCCCTAAAATGTACATAAAGCGCCTGACAGAACCCTTTAAGGTTCTAGAAATATTTATTTGTGAATATTTTTCGTAAATATTTTTTTTATTAATGTATTTTAAAGAAAATAATCAGCCTTCAACACATTGCAAATGAACTGGTGTGCACATAAATTGACATTTTGTGGTTCAATATCTTAGATCAGTATTTCAGTGAGCTTTATCTTGTTTTTACACTCACTACTCTTGCTGTGCAATGTGCATGCAAATGTGTCTTCGTCTGTCACAGGACTATTTGGATATGCAAAATATGGCAGTCAAATTATTTTAGCTGAGCTCTTCTGTCTTCCTCTTCTGCTTAGCTGGAATTCAAAAAAGGGACATTTTTCAGCTCAATCCACACATTTTCTGCTCAGCTTTAAATCAGACAAAGGCATTCTGCTGAAATGCGACAGTAAGCTTTCAATCAGTGAAACTTTAATCCTAACTCTCAAATGATGCTGGAGTATATAGTTTCCTCTGTTACAACAACAAAAGATAAACTACAACCAGACTAACCGGGGAACAATCTCAGAATGGTGGCTAACGTTCCAACAAAGTTCTCTAAACTCTCTTGAGTTATGAACAAACGCTCTCTCAGTAACTTTAATAGAATGTTTGTTCAGTTATGTGGTCTTTAACAATGATCTTATAATGTTAGCATGAAAACATTATTTATACATTAATCACGTAAAAAAAAAAAACGAAACAGTTTAGTTGGACGTTTAAATGTAACTACTTGTTTTCAGAATGTTCAAAGGACATTCAAAAGTAACATCCCATAAGGTTTGCAATTTGATAAAATGGAATGTTTCCTTAACGTTCCAAAACCAAGAAAAAATAACGTTTTTAAAACATTTGGAAAACTGGATGTTTAGAATGTTCAGAAAACATTCATAACTTAATATGAGCATTAGCAAAACACTCTTAGAACATAATTCTGTTAGCTGGGAAGGACTGTGATGAAACGTCAGCTTTAAACACTTCAAGAGAACATGTGTGACCACCACATGTCAGAATTCAAAGTAAGAAACAGTGCAGAGGGGGTGAATCGAAACAAGTAGTGGACTGGGAAGTCCCTGAATGGGCGGCCATTTAACTTCCTTTACATCACTTCACCTATCGGTAAGAGAAGAGGACTTTATTCACATTTACATACAGTGAATTGCTCATCCGTGAATCTCACAGCACATTACAACACCTTTTGGAAATGGGGAAACTGACACATTCTGAACGGCTACAGTGTTGTGAGACAAAACAACACCTGGTGGTTATTACTCACACAATGAGTTATTTTGTCGGTCACATTGGTGTGCATTCATCATTGTTATAGATCTGCCCAGTGAGAGTTAATGCATGAATCTTTCGGGTTTATCCAAAGTGCCTTACAAATGAGAAACATGACAAGCAATTTATCATATAAGAATATAACAAGTAGGCTTTAGCAGAACTGAAACTGGAAGGAAGAACAGCCTTTGTGTTCGTGGAAGAGCTACTTTCAGCTGTTTCTCAAACGTTGTGATGGAAATCGATGGAGGCTGGAAACTCCTTCCAACACTGAGGAACAGAGAGGATAAAGGGTCTGGAAAGCAACTTTGCACCTTGTTTCGATGAATCCAACAGGAGCTGATCGTAGAGGAGGGCACATAAATGTCATGTCTCATTTAGAAGGTTGCGTCCTCCAGGGGTCGCATTTGTCAGCCACAGAGAAAGCCTCATTTCAAAGTCATCAAGAAATTACAATTTAAGCTTCACAAGAAATATTAACAGGTCAATTTTATAATGGTTACCTTTCTTAAGTGAGACATCATTGACGAAGTATGCGGCCAACAAAAAGACGAGCGCTGATCCAGTGCAGCTGTTCTGAAGGTCCCAAAGTTCACATTAAAGATAATCAGAGCATAAGATACTGTAATTATCCCCATATAAAATATATAGGATGATCTTTTAAAGTCTGTTTTAAGATGAGGGTGGAGATACAATGTAAACTAGATCTTCCTAAATTTTAAAACATGTTTAAACACCAGTGAAAGCACAACTGCAGGGGTCAACAAAGGCAAAATAAACAAATACCAAACTAACACAGAACTAAATTACCAAATGAAAGAATAATAAAATAAAATATATAAAAACGTATGCAAAAATAAACAAACAAAACACAAAAAAATTATAATAATTAAATATAGACGTATACGTAATAAATGACACAAAGTATATAAAACAACCCCACAAGAAACAAGCAACAACAAACGCTGCACTATACAAAAGGTTTTAACAACAATATCAAGCTGAGCGCCACCTTTAGAAACCGTCCCTTTAACACTGATTTATTCTTTATGGAAATACTGGACTGGTATAAAAGGTGGAGTTAAACAATGAGACACATTGACAAAAATTACCTCACTAATCTGACTTCAGACTTTAACTTTAGCTGCTCCTAAATGAAATGTAATGAAACGGAGTAAAAACATTAATGATGTCAAAGTGATCAGATTGGGGGAATTGCCAGAATTCATGGCATTGACCTGCAATATAACAATAAAAAACAGTTGGATATTCATGTCACAACAGTTGAGTACACTGTGTGATCTGCTGCAATGATGTCCTGCAAGGAAACAGAGCCAGAATCAAAAATCAGACCAGGAAGATTAAAAAAGACGAGCCATACTGAAGTATACAAGTGACGGCAACATACAGCTCTAATTCCCACAAATGAGTGATAAAAACCTTTGGCATTATACCAGTAAGATGCTCAGAACACTACAGGAATTTAAAGAAGCCGAAGGAGTTTACATAATTAAAACCCGGCACAGTTCATTCAGAAATAAAATATACAGTATCTTACCGTACTCTGAAGTTTACAGAATGTTGGAACAGTGTAATGCACCTCTTCCTCATGACTTGTAACTGTTTTAATGAAAAAACAGACATTTAATAAACTAAAATACATTTAATTAACTTGAAATGGTCATTTACTATATATATATATCTATATATATATATATATATATATATATATATATATTTGGACGTCATTACTTACCTTTTTTTCCTGGTTGTTTACATCTTCTGTGGCACCTCCAACCTCCAACGACGGCTATTGCTGCCAGCAGCGCAAGAGTAACAGCTATTACCATCATGAAGCTTGAATGCTGGACCGGTGCTGTAATGAAAAGAGAAAACAGTCATTATTGTAATCTGAATATAGTACAGCTAAAGGGTTAGGGTTAGGGTTAAACCATAGTTATGGAAATGTGATTTAACATGTTAGGTTTCAACTAAGCAGGCGTTTAAGTAAAGTACTTGAATATTTTGACATCTATATGATAAAGAGTCCAACTATCTATCTGGTCTTTACTTCAAAGTTCATAACTTATATTTACAACTATTAAAAATTATTTGATAAACACCGTTGGTTTCACTGTTAAAGTATTTCCTTGAAACACGATGTTTGGGTGGGACAAATCGAAGACGTGTCATTTTTAAAAAAACCCGCCAATAGACTTCATTTTCTTGCAAATGTCACACCATGTTCATCTACCTGCTAGTCGGAAGAAGTTATTTATGATATAGGTGGAGGAACATTCAACAGAGCTCTTTATTAGACAAACATTTGTATATATGATAACATCTGCTAACAATGAACTGTCAATATTTAAGAGAAAATATTATCTATATTTTATATCTATATTTTTTTAGCATAGATGACCTCAAAGCTCATGGATATTAAATAAAAGCTATAAACGTAAACACACAATTTTGATTAATTTACGAAGTTAGAAGATAATTTTGATACCTGCACATGTGTGACAGAGATCAGTGATGTTGAGGTGTGTGGTTTGGTTGGCGAATGAATAAGACACTACACAGCTGTATGAATCATCCAGACACTGAATCTCCAGAGGTAGAGAGAGACTGATGCTGAGATCACACACACTGATGCTGGACAATACACTGATTCCTTTGTACCAGGAGAGAGTCACATCACTCACATTCAACACTGAACACACCAGTGAACATTTGGACTCTGATGATCTTGATGATGATGATGATGATGACGAAGAACAGTTCGAAGAGTTTCTGGTGATGACAGGAAAGGGCAGACGAGCTGGAGAACATAAAATATAAAAATCAATGACACCTTGACCTGGATAAGTAAACATAATTAGTATTTGAAACAGCATTGTACTGAAATTTGTAATCAGCATGCTCAACACACCGGTCCGCCTTTGTTGCTCTATTTCTCAATTTCACATTTTCAGAAATTACAGATTATATGAAAATAATAAAATCTCCCATTAACTTTTACTGGTGCTGTCAAATTGTAACGAACAGCATTAGATTGTGATATTTGCATATGGATTGCATACTGTATTATGATTGGTTTTCATTTTTATCTTAGTTTATTCATTTAAATGCATTTTACTATTAATCTCTATTCTTTCTAAATGTGGATTTGCAGCTTTTCTAACCATCATTGCAAAAATATCAACACTATTGTTTTGCTTCCTTGCACTGGCATTTCCTTCAGGAAGTGCAAAAGAATAGCACATTAACAATTTATATAAACTGAGTGCAGAAAATAGGTTTCAATCTCACTTTTGCTAGTTAAGCACTTATGAATAACCAGATTAATCAGGAGAAGTTTTATGTTTGAGTACTATCACCGTCTGAATCATCATGAGAATGATTTACTCACCATAGACAGTAACATTGAATCTCTTGTATGAAGTTCCTTTGCTTCTGATGACGGTCAGTTTATAAAGTCCAGTGTGTTCAGATCTGATGTTTCTGATGGTCAGAGATCCAGTTTGATTGTCCATCTGCAGTCTGTCTCTGAATCTCTCACTATTAAAATATTTGATCATCTGGTTATATATTTCAGCAATACGAGTCTCTTGAGGTCCAAACATCCACATCTGATCATCTTTCTGTACTTGAACATCAGTGTTTAGAGTGACAGATTCTCCCTCCATCACTGACACTGACTTGACTACATCTGTACCAGCGCCAAACACACCTGAAAAAAAGCTCCCTTTAAGTAGGCTAAGAAACATTCAAGATAAAATATTTGGAAGATTAACTAGCACAAAAAGATTGCACTGAATTTAACACCATGGAAAGGGATTTCAAACTAATAAACTTTTAGGAACTGACCCTTGACAAATAAACAAATAAAATAGAAACATGACAGGTTATTATTATTATTTATTATTATTATTTCAAAGGGTATTTATGACGTACCATTCAATAGCAATAAACACAGACCAAAGAAATATCCACTGTGATTCATTTTTCTGAATTTCTCAATGAACGATATACAGCCAAACAGGAGTGTATGCGATAAAAAAAAAATAAAAAAATTCAATGATCCGGTTTTCCGGTAGGAAAAATAGTTTCCATTCTCAGGTGTGTTTCACATGTTCCATCACATTTTTAGTAACAAAAGAATATATCCATAATAAGGATTAAAAAAACATTCACAAAGCAAAAAAATAATCAAATGAAGATTCCATTGGGTTCACAGTTGAGTCCGTTCTGAAAAAGGATCTAGGCGTAGCCTACACTATACTTTACACACATGCACCTCCCTCTCTCCCTCCCTCTCATACCTCCCCCTCCCGCTCTCTGTCTCTCTCGACCTTTTTTGATATAAATATCAGATATAATCCCCTTCCTCTCTAGAACAAACAGAACTTCAGATTAACTTTATTGTGAATACCTCTTCTAATTCCTGTTCTTTCACATTTATATGAAGTTGCCTAATATTGGATTGGATTATATGTTGTGTAAACTCAATATTCTTATCATGGTTCTAAAGAACCATGTAATATGCAAATAGCATGGATGGGTGTGAGGTACAGCAGACACTGCTGGATGAAACTTGATGTCGCTTGCAAATAGTGACCAGGAGTATATTCGGGATCGTTGGATAAAGATTTCCTTGTCTCTGCACTCATTTTCAGCAAGACAGCCATAAGCCGCGTTTCCACCGAAATTACCCGGACAAATTTGTCCCAGGAACTTTTTCCCCCAGACCTGTTGCTGTATGTGTTTCCATCGCGGTCAAAAGTACCATGGAGATTAGGCAAATTATTGCACCTTCATGTCTACTACTCTATTCCAGTGACGTAGAACTGTGAGCAACTTCAGTTCCTGCATGGATTTCGTCCTCCGCATATAAACTTAATAAAGCATAAACCTCGTTGCTGGCCAATCTGTCGTATTTTTAAAACTCCATTGTTAATTTGAATTGCAAACAACACTTACTGCACGCACCACAACAGACTTTTAAAAATGGTGGTTGAATCAAAATGCTGCATGAACTCTTCCCATCAGCATGTTCAGCGCCCGAGTCCCACCCCCAAGTTCCTGGTATTGAAAAAGTACTACCTCACAAGCAGGGCCTTTCTGAGGGGGATTTTTTTACCCGGAACTTCATTTAGACCCTGTTCCCTGCGGTGGAAACACACCAAGCACAACCCTAAAGTCCCTAGTTCCTGGGGGAAATTCCTGAGGTGGAATCAGCATTTGTAGGGTGTTTGCTATAGTGATGTTCCTTGCCATGATTCACTGAGCGATTCAATCAGATTGAAACGGTCATATACAGACCAATTCACACTGAATTGACAAACGCCGACAGTCAACAGTTTACAGTATGTCACTTGTCAGAAATTCCAACACCCTACAAACGCTGATTCAACATATTCAATTAGCAATAACAAGTGTCATGTTACATTAGGTAACATCAGGATGCTTCCAGGTATAAATGCAGAAATTTACATTATGTTCACAGAGTAAATAATATATACTGCATAAATAGAGTAGAATGGTAGCATGCTACAATTACAAACAGTGACAAAGTATGACCCTTAAACCACCCAGAAACCGAAACAGCCTTGTTCTTATTAGTTTACATCTCGAGTCTTTTTTTCTTATGAAACCTTGGGTTCTGGAATAGGCCACCATTTCCTTCACAGCTCAGACACAACATCTGTAAACTTTCTCACGACTGCACAAAAACAAGCGCCAAACCCAACAAAGGGTTTGTTGCTGCAGGTCAGCGTCTGTGGAGTGTGAATTGACCTTAAGACATCTGTTTTAAACATGAAAAAAGTCTTGTACTTTCAATGCTGTATACTTTAACTTAAATAATTTACAAATGTATCTGTGGAAATAAAATTAGTGGCCAAGCAACAAAAGGTTTTCTGTTCGTAATCTGCAATGCGAGACTCTCAAACTTAAACTAGCGCCACCATCAGGTCAAAAAGTTTCACAAACTGTTCAAAGTTTTCTGCTATTTAAATTGAAATGATTTGAAACAATGTTTTTTTCCCCAAGCTTCAAAATGTATGACAAGCTACATTCAACATTTAAACCTTCACCAGTTTTGGGTCACATGACCATTCTGATAAAATGGGTGTATTCAAAACCAACAAAGGCTAGAATGATGATTGCGTCATGTTTCCATATTTGCCTATCGAAACACACCATGAGCAGCTGCATGCTTCTTTATGCTTCGAGAACAGAAGCAGGTTTTCATCTTTGTATCTCAGTTAACACCTTGTTCACAAAAATAAATAACCAGACAATGCAATCATTCAACTGGGACATGTATTCCTTTTGTTCTGAAATAAAAGCTTGACACGGTGCATTCACTTTAATACAGATGACGTTCTGAGGCGTATTTATTTTGGCAGTATTTGCGTCATCAACACAAGCATAAGAAATGTTCCATAGTAAATGTCACAAAACAATCTATTTTCAAACTAATCTTTTACCTTTACCTGTATTGAAGTATTCATGCATTCTAGTTCCCACAACGTTCTGACAGCATTAGTTTCCAGTGAAGCGCAGAGGCCTAGTAAGGGAGTTTCACAAGAGCAGCTCTTCACCCACTCAGACACTCTTATACACACTAACACTCGAGTGCACTCTTGTGAGCTCAATAATAGGTACACCAAAAAAACACCAGCTGCATTCAACCAACAACAACAAAAAAACATTTGATACCTTACACTGACCTAAATAGATCTGACTTCTGACCACAGGTTTCATTCTGACTCACCGAGCTGCTAAAGGCATAAAGAAGCTCATGTTCATTCTACATTTAAAAAAAGAAACCTTTTGCACAATTGCTTCAATGCAAAAGTATCAAAAAAATATTTTTTTGTGATAAATATGTCAAGTTAATAATATTTTAATAAATACTGTAATTAGTGCTGCAGTAAGTATGTTCGGCATATGAGATACTTTGTAATGACTTACCTTAAAATGAAAGAATATCCCGACTTTTTCTATATATCTATTGATAGATTTTGCATATTTGTGAGCCGATACAGATTTATGGCCCATAGAAATATGATGGGTGTGAACCAAACAATGGAACAACAATACTCAGGAATTTCCGGTAGGGTATCTTGTGTTTTGCAGGATATCAGTGGGAGCTCCTATACACTCTAAAAAATGCTGGGTTGTTTTAACTCAATTTTGGGTCAAATATGGACAAACCCAGCTGTTTATAAATTTATAAATTGCATTTTTTAATCCAACAATTGGGTTTGTCCATATTTGACCCAAAATTGGGTTAAAACAACCCAGCATTTTTTAGAGTGTAACAATGCTGTATCTGTTGTTTAAAGCTCCCACAGACATAGCTTTGGGTTAAAGGGATAATCCACCCAAAATTGAAAATTCTGTCATCATTTACTCACCCTCAAGTTGTTCCAATCCTGTATGAGTTTCTTTCTTCTGCTGAACACAAAGGAAGATATTTTGAAGAACGATTTGAACTTTGGCACCATTGACTTCCATAGTATTTTTGTTTTCTACTATGGAAGTCAATGGTGCCAAACAACCGTTTGGTTCCAATCGTTCTTCAAAATATCTGAAAATGATGATGATGAAAGAATTTTCATTTTTTGGGTGGAGTATCCCTTTAAGGTTCTTTAAAGGCCGACACATTAACATCGCTGCTGAAGGACTGTGCTTCACTGCTACCTTCAATGAATTCTTCAAAACACAAGAACTTGTATGCATTGGCAAGCCACCCAAATGACTACTCAGCCAAACTCTATAAATATTATATTTCATGATCCCTGTGAAATTGTCATTGGTTTTAAAGCTCTTTTCATATTCCAAAACTATATCAAAATATAATGCTTATTAGTTGCGAGACCAAAATCTCTCCGTCGTCTTTCTGTACCATAATAATCATTTACAGAAAATTATACACAATCAAGATTACAGAGAAACAGAAATCTCATGACCATGACATAATGGAACTTAATACATTTATGTTACTTTATCTTGCAATAAAGATATCTTGCAATAAGATGTTTATCATAATATTTTTTTGACGTAAATCTTTCTCACCACAATGACTGTTGAGGAGGAGGAGAAGCATTTAAATTTAATCCTGCCTTCTAACAAATGTGTAAGGTTGGTATCAATCTATCATGGCGGCTGAACACTGAATCAGTTTCCATGATGGGTCAAGGTTTAGCTGGTTGTCATGAAGCCCCTGCTAGTACATGACATAACTACACCATTAAGGTATATAAAGAGCATTGCTCTCCATTCGAACGTACCTGTGTATTCATATCTAATACGTTATTATATAGAACTGTTAAACAAAGAAAGTAAACGGTTGGTGGAAAAGTATTGAGGGCACGCAAGGTCTCTCGCTCTCTGCCGCGCGCTGCACGGTTTGGAGCACATACAGTATGTTCTGTCTCGCATGCGCGCCTCTAGATTCCAAGAGATTTGAACTAATTTACGGGCATCAGAGAGCCGCTATCATGCGGGATTTTTATAGGTTAATTTTTTTAAACATTTCAGCGCAACTCCAAAAAGGAGGACAAATGAGTGTCCGGCTTGAGGCTGCGCCGGACGCCGGACAGGGGGCTTAAAATCTGGACTGTCCGGCCAAAATCCGGATGTATGGCCACCCTAGTCGAGTAGGACCGGTTACACCTGGACTTCGCCGTTGGTCCATGTATCAATGTTTTCCATGTTTTTGGAGTTAGCTTGTGGGGTTAATATATAGGCAATAAACTGTGTGTTTACATGGCTTTTTAAAAATAGTGGGTGCAAGTGTTTCACATGTGTTCGGCCAATCAGCGTGCACTTGTGTCACTGGCAGTTCCTGTTGTTTTGGGATAGACCCTTTTCTGAAGTAGGAGCTAAATTAGTCCCCCCAAAAGGCTTTCCCAGTTCCCTTCTGTGAAAACACGCCAAAAAAAGGGTAGTTCTGACCATAGTAACAGGCTGGAACATGTGCGGCCCTATGTGTCTCAGGACACTGATGCTGCGTCCCAAATCACATTCCATCCGTCCTAATCACACTCTATCCATTAAAATTAGAATTAGTGCATCCCAAATCGTAGTATGTTGAAATGAGTATTCCAAAGAGGATTTTAACTGTGATGAGATGATTGGCTGTGTCCAAGTTGACAGGCTCTGCTCTGCCTCCCTCTAGTGTTATAAGTTTTACAGACACAAGAAAATAAACTATTTTGAGCTATTTGTTAGTGAAATTA